TTGAAATTACATAAAATTACATATTCTTTATTTGAGAGTATTTGATTCGGGGTCCTTTTCTCTATGTCTTCTTTTCCTTTTTATATTCCCTTAATGATTTTTTCGAATCAACCAGATAGGTCAGAGTACATAACCATCCACTAGACTAATGTCAAGAACTCATGTTGATTTAATTCCAAATTAAATCAAATTAAAATGAAAAACAATCATTTTGACCTAGATCTAATTCTTGGTTCTTGGGCATGGGTAAATCGTTAGTTTGGTAGAATCAAGGGTAATTAGCACAAATATCTCTATCGTTTGCGTAAATCATTTCTATCGTTTTAAAATTTTCATTTACAACCCCGTTTCAATATTTTCTTGCGGAATTGGTCATTTCTATCTATTCCGTTAAATAGATACGTGGTCCACGTGGATTGTACTTACATCATATGAAAATGGTAATTTTGCCAAGGAACAATTTTTCCTACTAGATAAACGTGAGAAAAATCGAATTACCCTTTTCATAGTACAATCCACGAGTCTATTTAACGGAAGGAACTTACAAAATAGACAAAAATGACCAACTTCACAAGAAAAAAAGTGAAATGAGGTTATAAATGCCAAATTTAAAACATTAGGGACGATATACATAATGAGTGAAAATGATAGGGATGTTTTATGCTAATTACTCGATTATGTAAAAATAGAATTAATATAGCTCCATAATTTTATATTATTTAAGAGTACAATCTCTCTCCTTTAGTGAAATCAGCAAAGATTAATAATTAAAATGAGTAGTCCAGGATCGATTGGATAATATCTAATTATTGTAGCTTGAATAATGTAGGTTCAATCCGTCCCTTTGCTGGCTCCTTGAAATGATGGGGACTTAATTGTAATTAAGTTGCAAGGACTGTGCCTGCAATTAATGGAAAAAATGGTTCTAATTTGAAATTAGGTTCAAGGGATGAAATCATACCTCGAGTGGGGATGCCTTCGCGAGTTCTAATTTAGATAAATTCAGAGGAAATATCAATTTTATGATCTGGATTTTCTTTCTTTCTAGTTTGTTCCTTTTAGAGAAGGAGAATTTGAAACAGATTTTTTTAATTGAGTGCCCATTGCCCACACACCTTGCCCAGTTATTATTCTTAAAAATATGAATAATGCTATTTATAATTATAACGATAGAAAATCGGTGATATGATAATTTAAGTGGACATATTAGAGAAGGTTCGGAAGTTTAAAACATCGATTACTTCTGGACAAATCTCAAGTTGAAAGTGCTACGCCTCGCCACCGAGGCTACAGTGAAAATACTACGTCGCAGTCCACATGGAAATGAAAGTCAATAAAACCCAATTGGTGAAAAGAAAAGTAGTCAAACAATAGTTGAAGCTCATGTGTCGAAGCACTGCCTAAATAGATGAAGCTCCTAAGCCGAAGCGTTGCGTAAGAAATCAAAGAAGAACCGAACCTCTTCACACATAAGATCACCAATATGAAGCTTCCTCCTTCCGAAGCCCTTAGGCCTTGTTTGATAAGCCATACTTGCCTTGGAACTTGGAAAATGTTTTCATTTTCCTTGATTTTGGCTTGTTTGAAAAGTCAAATTTTCTAGGACTTTTGTTTTCTTTGGAGTTGGCTCACGCGCCAATACACCTCGATTTTGGGGAAAATGATTTCCCAAATTTTTTTTCACCTTAATGGACAATTTCCATGTAAAACAAAGTCAAACGAATACTAAATTTTGATAAAAAAAAATGATTTTTAAGGAAACAATTTTTTTTTTTTTTTTTTTACTTTTTAGCAATAAAAATAAATTTTATAACCAATTGTGGAAAAAATATCACTTTCATGGACAATTTCCATGCAAAACAAAGACAAATGAATAGAAAATTTAAAAATTTTCCAGGTGGAAAATTATACCAATCAAAAACACATGAAATCATTTTTCCTGCAAAATATTTTCTAGACAAATCTTTTTCCTATAAAACATTTTCTTTCTATCCATTTTCCACCCTTGCAATCAAACGCACCCTTAGTTCATCCAAGCCAAAGCTGTCTCTTACAAGATTTGTAGATAATTTTTAGAAATGATTAATATAACGTTTGTAATAAATAATGTCGGATGTGTCAACTTAATGTATGGGGCGGCTTACCCATTGTCAATGTATTTATTGTATGATAGACTTAGTGATGTGAGGCTTCAGTCGAGAAGATGAGGCCATGGTGTTCTGATCCAACAAATATCACGCCAGAACACTATAAATACGTGGTCTTTGTAAATTGTAAGGGGCTTTTGGATTATCTTTTGGAACGTTGATTCTAATATACAAGAAAACACTCAAGACAAATACTCTCAAGAAACAATCTTACTTATTTTATATTTGTTAGTTTGATCTTAGGTTATTTACACATTGTCAGTTGTTTGCTAGCGTAATCATCTTAGTCACTATCGTCGGTGCTCGAATACTTTTGTCTTGTGTCGTAAAGTATCTCCCGCGTTCGAAGCGCTCCCCTGCTCCATTCGGTTCTCCGGTCAAAACGCGTCGGAACTTGCCTGAGTTGGAGTGCGCGGGCCTGGTATCTGATGTCCACGTTGGTGTTACATTTTTCAAGATCAACATAAATAACACTTTAAAGAATATCACTTGATGGAGTTTTTATTGAATTAATAATGTATAACTAATTTGAATTATAGGCATATTGATATTTGCATATCGGTAATTACGTCATTTTTATCCTCAAATTTTCTATTAATTAATACATTTTGAATTTGATAACAATTTATGTCCAAAAAATGCAAAAGTATTTTTCCTTCATTTTAAAGTACGAAAGCAAAATATTTTGATAAAAAATATAATCAATGACGAGATATACTAATTAATGGAAGGTTGAAAATAAGAATTCGACATAGTAAAGTTAAGGAAACAATTGCTACAATGAGTAAAGATTAAAACGTTTAGCTACAATTAAAATATGGTGTAAGAAATAAAATTATAGCGTAACCCTCCAAACCCGAATGCTTCAATGCCTTTAAAGTTGCGAGCTGACACCCAACATAACCCTAGGGGTTACAAGGGAGGTTTTACAATAAACTCAACTTCAAATGCCTGAACTTCACTCAAAAAACACCATCAGCTAAGGTCATTCCCAAGGCAAGAATACCCAGAGTCAAGAAGAGAGCATTTTACAAAAACAAGCTAAGAAAATAAGGAATATGAGATAAATACAAGCATGAACCTAAATGAAGGAAATAAAAGACAGTTGGAGAAGAGCAGAATAGTCAGTAGCAGAAATATGGCAGCAAAGCAAGAGATGTACACAGGAAGTGGAGAATAGTGATAAGAAGAAATGACGTATTTATAGGTTCAGATTAAATGCTTGAACCATAGATTGAATCAGCAAGAGATCTAGTCCACTCAAAAGTTTCTCTCAATCAAGAGGAACATAGCACTGACACTTCAAAAACACTACAAACAGTACTTCGTAAATCTTGGAATGCAATATTAGGGAAATTTTAGTTATTAAAATATTTATGTAAAGAGAACAAATATTGAGTGAAAATTCGTAGGAAATTTATGTTAAATTTGCTTTATATCCGGTGTCTTTTTCCATACACGAATATATTATTTCATTGCCACTAGTAATTGAACATATAGCCACTCTAAAATCGAAATATATCGCTTCAATATTCAAAATCAAAACTAAAAAAGGGTACTAATTTTATTTAACAATTAAAAAGGAAAAAAAAAATTTAAGGTACACTATATAAATGTGTAGCTTACAATATGTTCATGTCATGTCGCTTATGTGACTTGTATTTGCATCCATGCTTCGTACTTGGACTAATTAGCTCGGTTTTAGTCCTCATCACATGCTTCATCTTAGGGCGATGGCTGATAATATCAAACACATAAAGCTAGTTATCGATTTCGTAAAATTACTTCCAACACTTTGGTAAATGAAATTCATTGTTGTCAACCTTGCCCATAAGGAGTCAACTTTGAGCACCTTCCAAGCAGATTTCCAATACTTCCTTTCTTGACTGGCTTACATATTTCCCAAGCCACCCACTTTTTCCTAGCCTTCCCATTCACCTCACCCTAAAAGAACGAGGACAACATAGAGTTCAAAGATTTAAACACTGATAACGGCACAATAAGGACAGATAACAGGTGAGTTGCCATTCTAGTCAACACATGCCTCCGTAAAATGACTCAACCTCCCTGCGATAATAAATCCAGTTTCCATCCAGCAATTTTACTACGGATTTTCTCCTCCAGACTTTGTAAATGGCGAGCCGTTAGCCTCCCTATCACCACCGGAACTCCCAAATATTTATCAGGAAACAAACGCTTACTGAAAGAAGACACCCGAAGAATACTAGCCTTCTGAGCAGCCGTGCAATTTTTTACTTTTCTTTGCTAAAAAGCTATCCCAACCATCTTTCGTAGAGCGAAGAAATTCTCCTAGACTATTTGCTCCCATTAGCAAATACTACTAGATCATCTGTATACAATAAGTGAGACACCAAAGGAGCCCTTCGATGTGTGAAAGCACCAATACTACCTGACTCAAATTTCTTATTTAACAATCTTGTCGACACCTCTTCCATAATTATAAAAAGATACGGCGAGATGGGATTGCCTTGCCGCAGACCTCCGGAGGACTTGAAAAAGCTTTGAGTCATCCCATTCATCATAACAGAGAACCAGGGTGTTGATATGCAGTCTGAAATCAAAGAACACAATTCAACAGGGAAACCAAAGGATAGCAAAACATGAATCAGAAACCTCCACTCTACTCTGTCATATGCCTTTGCCATATCCACCTTAACAACCACATAACCTCCACGATTCTCGCATTTCAAAGCCTGCGCCATCTCTCGAGTTACAGTGATGTTATCAAATATGCTCCGTCCTGGTAAAAAGGCCCATTGTTCAGGGGAGCTGCACCTTGGAAGCAAACCAGTCATCCAATTCAACAAAATTTTTGAAAAAAAAAATTGTAAGCTATGGAGTATAAGCTGATTGTTCGGAACCGATCAAAGCCATCTGGATTCTCCAATTTAGGGATGAGCACACTATAAGACGAAGAGAAAAACCTTGAACTTTCCGAGTGGCAGAAAAGGGAGGAAATCCAACTATCTCAACTGGCAAAGAAGATACTTCCAGCTTCTCAGAGTACCCGCTCTGTAAACAATGCTTCAAGCCCTCAACTCCCTCTTCTAACTCAGAGGTAATCTGTGCTACATGCCCAAAAACTTGCCCATTCCACGTTCTCAAGGCCACTTTTGTAGCTTTTAGCTTCCCAGCAAGCTTCTGAAGATCTCTTAACCCATCTACACGATTCGGCTCTCTCCATACATGCTCCACACAAGATAAAAATTGCTCACACCACATCCTCTGAAACCGAAAAGAAGACGGACCACAAGACTCGCACAAAATATAGCTCCCAAAACTAAGATCAAATAAACAGATATATGTTGTGAGTTTAATCGGGGAAAAAGATGTTTGTTAAAGACAGCACGGCGCAGCATATACATTTCTTTGCATTTGCACGCAAGAGCATGGACGTCACTTAATCAAGAACCCAGGATTTACAAAAGGGGGCTGACATTCATTTTAGACAATTACTTTAGTTGTTACTACAGTAACTTGCCTAAAATTCAGAATGCTCAATTGGTTCGGACAGCAAAATATTCTTGTTTTAATTCCTTATGAATCTTTGCAGTGAAGGAGTCGAATCGAAATCTTATTATGATCTATTCATTTAGTACCTATCGGCATCCTAGATTTCAGAAACAAACTTTCGTCTAGTAGACTGTGTACTAAAACTGAGGTTTCAATGTTAGTTGATGTAGTTTGTTCCATTATAGGCAACCTATTTCGTTCATAATTCAGCCCATAAATCAAAGAAAAAAGTAACAAGTTTTAATCAGACTTGATTTCATCAGCAACTAACTTATTTTCAATAAAACTTCCATTTCGGTTTGCAACAGATCACAAATTCGCATTCAACGAATATGAAAAAAACCAAGCTTTCTAACGTGCTCCAACTTAAAAGCATGGCAGCAATACAGGGAAAAAAAAAAGGGAATAATTAAATAGCTGGCCACAGATACAAGAAAACACAAACAGTTAAAAATAAGCCTGCAATTTTAAAGCTAAAAATATATCCCTACCAGTCGTGGGCAAGGTCTCCTATTTCCAATTTCAACTATTCATTACAAGAGAACTCGACTAGTAACATATATAGACCTGGAAGATCAAATTCATAATTCAAACTATACCGCATTTTTACATTAACAAATAATCCAACTTTCTCAACTGAATTAAAAATTCAATTAATTAATAAAAAAATCTGATTAAATTCATAAGAAAAAATTGGGGAACCTTTTCATTGAGGGCTGAGACTTGGACTGGACAAATGTATCGGCGTCAAAATTATCGGACTTGAAGACGTTTATATTCCCTTCGAGCTTGGTGCCGGCATCTTTGAACTCCATTTCACTGCACCTCCCGTGTGTGATGCTCCTCTTGACCGAGACGACTTCAACGATGCCATAACCAAGGAAACGCGTTTCAGATCCGATTATGTTCCTCCCGCGCAAGTTCAGGGCTAATTTAATTTGATTTAACGAATACGTAACAAAAACTCAGTTCGCATCCCACATCGGAAGAATGCTGAAGATTAGAGTAGTTTATATATTAAATTGTACAGAAGAAGGTCGTGTCATTAAGAAGGAGAGATGGTTGGCATCTCCCCTGACAAGGACGGGAATGGACTCACTTGATTCCTGTTACCGTGCACATCCGTTTGAGGCTACCCACTTAGGTGGATCTGTACCCAATTTTTTTTCAGCTCTTGACGAACTTCGATCGATCTATAATCTGAAGACCGAGACCATGGGTTTAACGCAGCAACAAACCTTAGGAATAATAATTTTTTATTTTTATTTAAGAAAATATAATTTTCAAATTTATTTATTCCCTTCGTATTATATTATATGGTTGATAATGTATGAAATTATTTGATTAAAAAATCAAATATTATTTACTTCAATCTATAAAAAATATCATTAGTCTAGTATTTTATTATCATAACTTTATTTTAAGCTTCTCTTAATGGATATATGCCAAAAAGAAACAATAAGGTTTCTGTTATTTCTACAATTTTTGTTCAAAATACATGTTCAAATTTTCCGTTTTCGATTAAATATTAAGCCCCTATTTAGTGTAGATTAAAATCAAATTTTTAGCAAATTTCGATAAAAATTGATGAAATGCGTGATTAAAAAATTACGGATCTAATTAAATGTATTGTTAATATTAATTGTTTGACTTTCACTTGAAATTTTTATCAACTTTTAATCTACACCAGACATGAACTAAATACCCTACGGTCAAAAACTTAGTCGACTTTGGCATTCGAGGGGCACTGAGAAATACCCATATTTCAGTTATCGGCGGGGAGGAAAGAATAGTGATACCAAGTTTTGGCCATAACAATTTTAATAATACACAGGAATTTATAGGATAAGAGCATTTTCCAGTTACAAGTATCAAAACAGACATGAACTAAATACCATACTGTCAAAAACTCGCACGACTTAGGCAGTCGAGGTGCACTGAGAAATACCCATATTTCAGGTATCAACGGGGAGGAAAGAATAGTGATACCAATTTTTGGCCATAACAATTTTAATAATACACATGAATTTATAGGATAAGAGCATTTTCCAGTTACAAGTATCAATATGAGGGTGCTCAAATTTATTCACAATTCATTACAGTAAGAGAATTTAGAGGCAGAAGGTATCAACTCAAGGCTACGCTGCAAGCAACTAAAAAGGTTTCTTTCTTGGTATCCAAATCACAACAATTTAAAAGAAAGTTTTACATTGTATTCCTCACGAATGAAAACGTGCCACCTAAGCTAATCATCAATTTGCCCAGGAAAAACGGGTATATAGGATTTTCATGTCTGGTGACTGTGAGTTGGATATTGACATCAGCTTAGACCTATATTTCTCTTCTCCATCGTGTTTGAGAGGTTGGACAACGTTCTCATTGTCCAATTTTTTAGGTGACTGTTCACCGATGAGCTATGTCTCAAGTAGTCGGCAAGAGATGGCAATCAATGACTCGCGAGTCACTTCTTTGAAAACCTCCGTGCAGGGTTCTTTCTTATACATAAAATGATGATCTTTGTCCCGCAAAATATAATTGTGCAGGATCAACTAGAAAAAATAGTTGTAAAATAGTATTCAAAATAACCTATTTGTTCGAGCCCAACTTGGATACAAATTCGATATTAAATATTGGCAATTACTCACCGTCAAAAGTTGATTTACATAGTCAGTTTATACCTAGTTAACGAAAGAAAAATTTCATGTTTCTGAAAGAAAAAAACGGGCGTTGAATTCTTGACAGCATGATGGGCAATCTGAGTTCATAGTTCTAATGAAGGCTTTTCTGCTATCAATATCAGCCAAATAATTATTAGTCCTCTTATTTTTTACCCTGATTGTATTCAAGAAGAGCATCATGGTGATGATTGGTCTGATTTTGATTGAACATCATAACTCTTTCAAGAATTTTGTTTCATCATTAACTCTTTTATGTGTATATATATGCATCGAAGAGATAAAAATCAAATAAGATTATATAATGTTGAACAATTGAATTTTAATCCAAATCCATAGCTCCCATTTTATTCAAACTTGTAGCAATTAGTCGCTCAACTCCTGATAGTGACCATTTAAAGAAGGTGTATCTGACTGGCAGATGATCCAGCGTACCAAGCAAATCTAATAGATGGAGAGTTTATTTTGTAGCCAGTGACAAAAAGGAGATTCTATGTCATCTAATGCAAATGTGCAATTCTTGATTTAGAAAGGTTTGAAGAACTTCTGTCACAAAAACAAAACCACTCGACACTTCAAAAATAGGCTAATGCTTAAATTAAATCGCATCATTCAACAAGAACTTAGTCACATTTGACAGTTCAAACATCAAAGGGGACAAAATAAGATTGGAATTTGAGTTAAAGGTCTCAATCGTGCTTTTACCCTGTACAAGTAGCTAGGAGGACTGTCCCTCTGCCATTTGGGTGGTGGGGTTACAGTTGGCCACTTGGACAGGGCACAAGTGGTATAATTCTAACTAATGCCACATGAGTCAGAGTAAGTACATCTCGTTGTATCTCAGTTTTTATGGGATTTGAGAAAATTTTCATAATGAATATGAAGAAGAGATCATTAAAAAGTTGGGATATAAGTTACACGAGGAAAGCAAGACAATTACAAAACAGCTTTAACAATGAACTAATTAATTTATCATTTTTTTATATTCTCATATTATTTTGAATAAGGTTCAATAAATTACTATAATATAAATAATAAATATAAATATAAAAATAATTTAATTTAATTTAATTTCTCCTGACTAATTCTTTCATAATAGCCTATAAAAATATTTTCACTACGAAAAATTATTTATAGAAAAGAATAGGATTTAACCCACAAAATAATTTGTACCATGTTGCCATAAATTTCTAATTGTTGAAAAAATCTTAGCCCACAAATATTTTTTCTACAAAAAAAAAAAAATTGTTTGTAGGAAAAAGTATGATTTGACCCATAACGAATTGTACTTGTCTCCACAGGGTTTGTGGCGAAAAACTTTAGCCCACAAATTTCAAAAATTTGTCGTCTTTTACTTAATTGCTCTTTGATGTTTGCCCCCACAAGTGTGTCTACAAATTTTTTCTTATTTATTTTTTTGTTTTCAAAGGTTTTTTTCTCATAAATAAGAACCTTTCCCAAAAAATAAATTGTGTAGGGATAGCATAAAATTCTTGTAGCGCGAAACGCATTGTCATACATCATGCATTTTAGAACCCAGTGATAAACACATAACTTTAATAAAGAATAAATAGGAAAGGTAGAAAATGAAAATATAGTAAAAGAAAAGAAAAAGAATGTAGGAAAAAGGGCTCGCAGGTCAACCATGCACGGTGCACCTAACCACCATCTGGTTTTTTGTTTATGCTTAATTGTTTTATCACTTTCTCCCAAAGAAACGGTAGGAAAGAAATTTTGAATTGGCACGTGGGTTGTACCTGTTTTAAATTGAGTGATGATAGCGTAACTCTAGAGAATATATATTCTTAATTTCTAGATATACAGAATCTCATTAAATAATGCCAGTTATTCATGTCATATCCAAATATGAAATGAAAATATAGTTCTACTGAACATAACAGCAGTTCTAATTATAAAACCTTACAATTTTACTTTCAATATCCTTTTATCAGGATGCTCGAGATTATCTTAAGAACAAACTTCTGTATCATCTCCCATTTGGGAATAATTCAAAAAAATGATATCAATCCAAGAAATTGATAGCATCAATTATGTTACGCATGTTCAACGATTACTCATTTCAAACTTGCAACAAAAAAAATTGTAAAGACAAAAATGTATATATAAATTATTAATCAAAAATCTATTTTGTATATACTTTAATTGAATTGATTAGTTCCGCTATTTGACTAGAATTAATGATCCAAACATTAATTAATGGACTCAGATACCCAATAGGCTAGGTTCCGTTTTGTCCTATTAAAGCACCTCCGAAAGACTCTCTATTTTTAACCAGTATACTTTATCATTCGAAGAGCATCTATAAATTTAAAGAGTTAAAATTTTGAAGTACTCCAACAAGTTTTTTATATTTAACTCATTTTAACACTTAATTTTACCACTCCAAAAAAATATTTATTATTTTTCTTTATCTTCTATTTTAAATAGCTTTTCTTTATATTATTTTATTGCTTTCCTACATCGAAAATTGAAACTTCTTTAATGTATTTAATTATAGAGAATGGTCAAACTTACTCTCTAAATTAAAATGTTAATTTAAATAGTCTCTTGAAGCGTGATTTTAAATATTGACTTTTTAAAATAGAAAGTATCTCATGTTTAAAGAGTCTTTTGGAGATGCTCTTAAAACCTTGAGATACTAACAAACCCTATAATATAATATCTTGGAAGACAATCTCTTTGTCGCAAACTTACTAGTAGACTATGCTCCTAAAATTCTATATTCTTATATTACTCAACAAGAAATTTATATTTTAAATAAATCCAATCTATTGTTTAGAAACATCAAATAATATATGCATCAAATAATATATGATGGTGATGATAAACATATCCATAATTGAACAGTCTCGACAAACTGAAAACGATGAGGGGCCACGATTTGTCACTACAATTTTGGGAAGCAGGATGTTATAAATTAATGGTTCAAAGTTAATATTATAAGCAGTAGATTTGGTCTCATCAAATTCATGTGCCATGCAAATAATACATGCATAATAAAAAGGTTAGTATGATTATGAACTTATTCTTTCTAGTCTTCTCAAGTCAAAATGAATACTAATTGGTTGACATTGCATTTGAGAATTGAATGCTCCAATACAATAATCTCCGTCTCCTAT